ATGATCCCGGGGTCCTGGGATCGAGTCCTGCATCAGGCTCCCCACAGGGAGCCTGCTTCTCCCTCTGCCTATGTTTCTGCCTCTCTCTCTGAATAAATAAATAAAATCTTTAAAAAAACAGGACTTTATTGGCAAGGAAGGAGGAGGAAATGATAGTATCTGCTGCACTAGAGAAAATCTCCCATTAGTGCTCAAAGATGTTCATTGCAGCATTGTTCAAAATAAGCAAAATTTAGAAGCAACAAAAATAACTCCAAAAGGAAAGTGGATAAATGAAATGTGATATATTCATACTATAGAATACTTATATGCATTATTTTAAAAACATTATGTCCAGTATCCCTCTCAACACTTAGGAAATTCCAAGGATTTTTGGGAGCTGTGAGGTAGGAACCATGGAGGAAGACTAAATATATATTAGAAATATATTTTGATAATCTGAATGACCAAATACATATTATTTTTATAAATCACAATATCAGAGTCATTGTGTTGTAATTCTTTTTATACATTGTTGGATTTGGTTGCTAACATTTTGTTGAGGACTTTTTTCTCTGTGTTCATGAGAGACATTAGTCTATGGTTTTCTTTTCTGGTAATGACTTTGGTTTTGTTATGGTTTTGTCCTCATAGAAAGATTTAAAAAATATTCCCTCTGCTTCTATCCTCTGAAATAGATTGGAGAGAATTGGTATGATTTATTCCTCAAAGGTATAGTAGAATTCACCAGAGAACCCATCTGGGCTTGGTGCTTTCTGTCCTGGAAGGCTATTAATAATTGATTCAATTTCTTTAATAGACACAAACCTACTCAGATAATCTATTTCTTCCTGTGTGAGTTTTGCCAGATGGTACCTTTCAAGGAATTGGCCCATCTCATTTATTAAATTTGTGGTCCTGAAGTTGTTCACAATAGTCCTTTAGATGTCCATGAGACCTGGGCACCTGGGTGGTTCAGTCCATTAAGTATCTGCCTTCAGCTCAAGTCATGATCCCAGGGTCCTGGGATTGAGCCCCACATCAGGCTCCCTGCTCAGCAGGAAGCTTGCTTCTCCTCCCCCCTGCTGGTGCTCTTTCTCTCTTAAGTAAATAAAAAAATTTTTTTTAAGAATTTCTCCTTAAAAAAAAATGTGAGATCTATAACGATATCCCCTCTTTTATGTTTAGTATTAGTAATTTATATTCCTTTTTCTTAGTTTGACTGGCTAGAGGTTTATTAATTTACTGATCTTTTCAAAGCATCAGCGTTTGTTATCATTGATGTTTGTCTATCAATTCTCTGTTTTCTTTTTTTTTTAAGATTTTATTTATTTATTCATGAGAATGACACAGAGAGAGAGGCAGAGACGTAAGCAGAAGGAGAAGCAGGCTCCATGCAGGGAGCCTGACATGGGACTCGATCCCAGGACGGTGAGATCACACTCTGAGCCAAAGGCAGGCACCCAACCGCTGAGCCACCCAGGCGTCCTGATTCTGTTTTCTTTTTTTTTTTTTTTAAAGCTGTTTTTTTTTTTTTAATTTTTATCTATTTATGATAGTCACACAGATAGAGAGAGAAGCAGAGACACAGGCAGAGGGAGAAGCAGGCTCCATGCACCGGGAGCCCGACGTGGGATTCGATCCCGGGTCTCCAGGATCACGCCCTGGGCCAAAGGCAGGCGCTAAACCGCTGCGCCACCCAGGGATCCCAGCCTGATTCTGTTTTCAATTTCACTGATTTCTGTTCTCTTATTATGTCTTTCTTCTGCTTACTCTGAATTTAATTTGCTCTTCTTTTTCTAGTTTCCTAAGGTAGAAACTTAGATTATGATTTTATCTTCCTTTCTTTTTTTTTTAAGATTTTATTTATTTATTCATAATAGACACAGAGAGAGGCGGAGACATCAGTAGAAGGAGAAGCAGGCTCCCTGTGGGGAGCCCTATATGGGACTTGATCCCAGGACCCCAGGATCATGACCTGAGCGGAAGGCAGATGCTCAACCACTTAGGCATCCAGGCACCCTCTTTCTTTCTAACATATGCATTTGATGCTATTAATTTTCCTCTAAACACTGTTTTCCCTGCATTCCACAAACTTTGATAGGTTGTGTTTTTATTTAGTTCAAAATATTTTAAGATTTTCTCTTGAGATTTCTTCTTCATGCGTTGTTTAGAAGTGTATTTAATCTTCATGTATTTGGGGATTTCCTGATTATCTTTCTGTTATTGATTTCATAGTAATTCCCCTTGATTTTAATTCCACTGTGGCCTGAAAACAGACATTGTATGATTTCTACTTTTTAAAACTTTGAAGGTGTATGTTATGACCCAGAATATCATCTATCTTGGTGGATCTTCCAGGTAAGGTTAAGAAGGATGTGTATTCTGCTGTTGTTGGATGAAGTCTACAAATGTCATTTACCTCCAGCTGATTGACAGTGTTGTTGAGTTTGACTATGTCCTTACTGATTTTATGCCTGCTGATCTGTCCATTTCTAATAGAGGGATGTTGAAGTCTCCAACTATGGTAGTGGATTCATCTATGTCTTCTTGCAATTCTACATTTTTTTTTTTTTGCCACATAGTTTTAGGCTTTCAAATACAAGGCATATACAAGTTAAGGATTGTTACCTTCTTGGAGAATTGACCTCTTTATCATTATGTAATGCCCTCTGTATCCCTGATACCTTTTTTTTGCTCTGAAGTCTGCTCTGTCTGAAATTAATATAGCTACTCCTGCTATATAGTGGTACTAACATGGTATATTTTTCTCCATTTACTCTTGGAGAGGAAGATTTACTTTTAATCTAGATGTGTCTCTATTTTAACGTGGGCTTCTTATAGACAACATAGAGTTAGGTATTGTTTTTTAATCCATTCAGACAATTTGTCTTTTAATTGGTGCATTTGGACCATTGATATTCAAAGCAATTATTGATATACTTGGATTTTTTTTAAAAGATTTTGTTTATTTATTCATGAGAGACACAGAGAAAGAGGCAGAGACATAGGCAGAGGGGGAAGCAGGCTTCCAGGGGGGAGCCCGAAGAAGGACTCCTTCCTAAAACCCCAGGATCATGACCTGAGGTGAAGGCAAACGCTTAACCACTGAGCCACCCAGGTGCCTCTCTGTTACAGTTTTTTATCTCTAGCATTTCTTTTTGGTTCTTTCTTAAGAGTTCCATCTCTCTGCTTACATTGCCCATCTGTCCTTGCATGCTGTCTACTTTACCCATGAGAGCTTTCAGCATATTAATCATTGTTGTTTTAAATGTCTGGTCAGATAATTCCAACATCTCTGCTGTTTCTGGTTTTGGTGCTCGCTCCATCTCTTCAAATTGTATGTGTGTGTGTTTTCCATTTAGAACGCTTTTCAATTTCTTCTTGATGGCTTGATATACCATATTAGGTTAAAGGAACTGTTATAAATAGAGCTTTAGTAATATGGTGTGAGGTGTGGGGAGGCAGAAGCATTCCACAGTCCCATGATTAGGTCTGTGTTTAAGTAAGCCTATACCTCTATAATGTGAATTTCATGTTTCTCAGTTTTTTCTCTCCCCTAGGGGGGGACAAGATGGCCAGAATGGGCTGGAATTCCTTTTTCCATGTGGAAGGCTGGAACTAATGGGATTTGGGCATTTCCCTTCCCCCAGATGAGTTAGGCTCTGATAATACTCTAGCAGGTTAAGCTCTGGTTAATAGTTTCTCTTGAGTGCAGGTCTTATTAAGAAGAACAGAGTATTCTGGTGTATTTCAGAATGATTCTTTTCTCCTTTCTTTGCTAGAAACAAGAGAATACTTCTTCCCCCTATATCTATTGTGAGACCTTGATCAAGCTCCTAGGGGAAAAGCTCCAAAAAGTGTGGGCCCCTTCTGTCTGTGACTAGGTCCAGAAGGAGCTTTTAACTCTCAGACTCCGTCCACCGGAGTCTCCAGCAATTTGTCAATTATAGCTCAGGCTTTCCTACCATGGCCTTGGTTTCCACCTGTGAGTCCACTTGGGCAAGCTAGGACTCCCTGTATTCACCTGTTTCCACTCTTAGGGGCAGTGGTTTTCTCTGTCTTTACTTGTGTTACAGATCCAAGAAGAGTTGATGGTTCTTCATTCAGTTTTCAACTTGTTGTTAGGACAGAGTGGAGCCTTCCAAGCTCCCTACATGCGGAAGTGAAAGTCAACCTAAAAGTCCTAAGTAATACAGAACCTAACTCAGTCTGAAGAAGGAAGAAGGAAAGGAAGGTTTCTTCGAGAAAGTGTCCTCTAAAACAAAACTTGGCAGGGGTTAGGTAGGTGTAGGCAAGAGGGGGGTGAGAGTTTTAGGGGATGAGAGAGCTTGACGGAGGGGAAAGCTGGAAGGGTTTGAGATGATTAGAGATTGAAGGGGGAAAGTGTTCAGAGACCAGGCTGCAGAGGTGAGCTAGAGCCAGATTGCAGTCTGAAGGTCTTACATGGCACTGACCTTGGAGAAATCTCGGGAAGACAGACATTAGAATTCACAACAATGACGCATCTCCAAAGAACTCTGGCACATTATAGATGTTTCTGACTTCATCCCCACGACAGCTCCTGAGAAGTCCATCTGCAAAGTGCTTTGAGGAAATCCTGAGTGGCTTAGGGCACTTTGCTGCTATTAAGTGCTCATATAAATTGTAACTTATTGGCTCAAATGTTTGATTTCCTATTTTTCTTTCCATTTGTGTGTCACCTGTAATTAGAGTTCCAAAGTGCTCAGAGTGATTTTTCTATTAAAATGAAAAGGAGAGGAGACTCTTTAGCAGATTGAAAAGTAGAATAGACCAGGCAACTTCTTCTATCTCCTATATGAGCACTTGGGTTGAGATTTATGAGACTTACAATGACATCTCTCACTTCCTTCTTATAGGAGTGAATTTATCTTTCTCTCTGCTACTCTGTGTGTGCGTGTGGTTGTAAATATCTTTACTTGTAGCCTCATCAGTAACACAAATATTTATTTATTAAAAGACTTTATTTTATTCATGAGAGAGACAGAGAGAGGCAGAGACACAGGCAGAGGGAGAAGGAGGCTCCATGCAGGGAGCCTGATGTGGGACTCCTCTCTTAGCTCCATCATTCATGGATCCAGTTGTTTATCCATTCATTCAGCCACGGAACCAACAATTATCGAGCACATTTTAGGAATCAGGCTCTGTGCTAGGGGCTGAGAACACAAGGATGAACAAGGTAGACATGGTTGCCACTGTCAGGGAGCCTACATTCTCATAGGAGAGATACACAAACAAATAATAATTTACCCATTAAGGTAAGGGTCAATTCCCTTGTAATTCCATTTTCTATGGAATTGGAATTGTGACAGGCTTCTTTCACTCAGCATGTTTTGGAGGTTCACCCGTGTTGTAGCATTTATTAGCACTCTGTTCCTTTTTATGGTGGAATAATATTTCATTGTATATATAGATCGCATTTCATTTATCCATTCACCCATTGATGGACATTTAGGCTGTTTCCACCCTTTGGTGATTGTGAATATGCTGCTATGAACATTCATTACAGGTTTTTGTGTAGACATGTTTTCAATTCTCTGGGATTACTTAAGTAAATAAAACTTTAAAAAATAATGTTGGGGAACTTCTTTCATTGGACGAGTCGGGGTCAAAGTCAAGCTAAGAACAAGAATATCTTGGGGCACCTCACTGGCTCAGTAGGTGAAGCATGCAGCTCTTGATCTCAGGTTGTGGGTTTGAGCCCCATGTTGGGTGTAGAGATTACTTACAAATAAAATCTTTAAAAAAAAAAAAAAGAACAATATCTTCATGTGCACCCAGAGTGTGGTGCACCACTCCAGAAATACTCAGGCTTGTCATACCATGTTGCTTTTTAAGCGAGCAGGCAAAGAAACTAGCTCTTGGAGTCTCAGAGTCTAAGCTGGAGTGAGAACACCCATCTTGTGGACTAACGTCATCACCTCCTCCTAGTATGCCTGAGATGGCTGAGCAAAGCATCTCTGATGAGCATTGGGCTGGAGCTGAAGTTTCAAGGGAAATGAAAGGGACCCGAGGACAGAACTTGCTTCTTCTCTGAGAAAAGGTAAAATTTCAGAGGGATGGGTTTTGGGACCAGGCTGGGAGATTAAAGGGATAGGTTGGAGGGGGCTTCAATAAAAGCAGGAGGAGATTGAGATGAGAGAGAGAGAGATATGGAGAGTGGTGTCCATATGGGACAACTTCCTTTTGAATGACTAAGTCTGTAGCTGGCAGCTGACACTGAATCCCGTCTGTTGCAGCATTTTTTTTTAAAGGAATTATTGATGGGGGAATTCTCAAGAACGAGCAAATTGTTTCTTGCTACAGATAGCTTTTCTTTTTTTAAAGACCAAAGTTTTATTTTTTCCCTCAGAGAATTTTATATCTTGTTGATTATGAAGGCATAAAATAGCAATAAAGAGCAATAACACCCATAGTGATACATCAGGGTCATGTTGATATTCAAAATGACTATATATCATTCTGATGTTTTTGTTGATGTGTCTAAACAATATACTTTGAAATGATCATCATTTCCTTGTATTACTTTTCATATTCATCTCCTGGTGTTCCTCACACATTAACGATCCCAAATGAGGTGTTAAGTCTGCCATTCCATTCACAAGAGCTAAGGAGGTATCTTAATGTAAGTTGAAGGAAGTTTTGTCCTACTTCATGGATTGTTCAAGAATGAACAACTGTTGGGTTTGTAGTTTACCGAATGCAACTTACACTTTTAACAAAAACTTTTATTCTTTAAAAAAGAATTTGTTGCTAATAAGTAAAAAATCAAGATATTTATTTTCAGATGATCTGGATTAAGATCCGACAGGTGGGTGGAGCAGAGTATTGTCTAGATGGGCATCCACACTGCAGCTCGGGACAGTATACACCTGGCTCATGTGTCTCATTTCTGTTTCCTGGAGTTATCTGTAGGCATTTGAGTCTGTGATCACTGAAGGCTTTGTGCAGTAGGCTGAATAATGGCCCCCAAAGATATCCAGATCCTAATCCCTGGAACCTGTGAGTGTTACCTTAGATGGCAAAAAAAAAAAAAAAAAAAAAGAAAGCAAGCAAGCAAGCAAGCTTTTGCAGATGTGTCTAAATTAAGGCTCTTGAGGAGGAGGGGGATCCTGGGTTATCCAGGTGTGCCTTAGGTAACCATGGGTATCCTTATAAAAGAGAGGCAGAGGGGGACCTGAACCCAGGGATAGAACGTAGGCAGTGACTGGAGTAAAATACTACACTGCTGGCTTGGAAGGTGGAGGCAGGACCCACAAGCCTAGGAACATAGCTCTAGAAGCTGGAGCAAGCAGGAAACTTGCTTCAGGAGTCTCTTCTGGAGGAAGTGTGATCCTGCCAACACCTTGGTTTCAGCATGGTGAAACTGCTTTTGGACTTCTGGCCTCTAGAGCTGTAAGAGAGTAATTGTGTGTTATTTTAAACCCCTTAACATGTCACTGCAGGAATAGGAACTTGATCCACCTTCTTGTACCTGAGAACAAACAAATTAATAACATCTGCTCTTGTCTCTCGCCCTCTCTACTTTTCTAAGACTTACCCTGACCCAGAGGTAAAGAAGTCCTTGCACCTAGGTGGTCCAGTGACCGGCCTGAGGAGGGTGAATGAGACAGGAGGTACTTGGGGGAAAGATGGCGGCCACTTTTCAGACATCCTTCTGGGGCTCTGGTAGACCTGAGCTTGGGTTTTGTGGGGGATACACAATACGTCAGCAACGGGCAACAGAAGACTGATGGTATGGACACCTGAATTTCCAGCATCTCTTTCCTGTGATAGCCTTGTAAATGTTTCAGTTTGTCCCAGTATCCCACCCTGCCTCTTCTGTTTTGGGGAACTTTGCCTCCCCATTTCATGTAGTCCTGGAAACTGAGCCTATTACAACCCCTCTATCCCAACCACTCTTCAAGGAATCAGGCCATCTTTTTTTTTTTTAAGGTTTTATCGAGAGAGAGAGAGAGAGAGAGAGAGAGAGAGAGAGAGAGAGAGAGAGAGAGGCAGAGACACAGGCAGAGGGAGAAGCAGGCTCTATGCAGGGAGCCTGACACGGGACTCCATCCCGGGTCTCCAGGATCACGCCCTGGGCTGTAGGCGGCGCTAAACCGCTGCGCCACCAGGGCTGCCCAGGAATCAGGCCATCTTGATGATTCTCTGGGGGTACTGGTTCTCAAACTGGACTGTGCATCAGGAGCACCGTTAGGGGTTATTAAAACACATGTTGTTGGGGTTACACCCCCAAAGTCTGACCCTGTAGCATGGGCTGAGAATCTGTGTTCCTAACAAATGCCCAGGTGATGTTGGTCAAAGGGTCACACTGAGAAGCCCTGCCTGGGAATCTGAGTCCTAGAAGATCCAAGACAGGTGGTGACATCATCCAAAACAGATGGTGACATCATCCGAAACAGACGGTTCGTGACTTCCTATCATGAAATCCCTGAATCTGATCTGATTCTGGGCATTCTGAGGATCTGGTTATTTTTCTTTTAAACTGTGTGAGCCATTCTGGTTCAATTGATTCTTACTTAAACTAGCAAGACTTGCAACCAAAGAATTTTAATGGATGGAACTTGCAAGGAACACGTGACACAGAAAAAAAGGTGGGTCTCATGGAACACCAGACTTAGAGCATATTTTGAATGTAATCTCTATCAGCCGACTTACTAATATGGATCCTAGCCAGCATTTACTGAATGCCTACTGTGTGCCCTTCAGGTGCTAGGAGTTTTATAAACCTCTATCAGCCTTACAACCCTTCTGAAGGAAAGATCTTTAATTTTTTTTTCACTTGAGGAAATGGAGGCCCAGGAATTTACTATTAGAAAGATAAAATCAACATAGTTAATGGTACGCAATATTGAATAGAGAACAGTATCTTCCTTCTTCTTGGTATATTCCCCCCCCTCCCTTTTTTAACCCCTACTTTCTCTGGGTGATGAATGGCCCCATTAGCCTGCCTGCATTACCCTTGTAAAAATTCTCTTAAAAGGACCAGAGGAAACAAGGATTTATTTTTTGAACATCCTAATCAGGTGTGTTAAAAATTGTTTTGTCTTAAATATTAGGTGTTCTGTAAACTCCAGAGCCATCAGAAAAGCCATGTTTGGACTTAGACTCACAAATAGATAAAACAAATCTAACCTTTGGAATTCCATTTGGAAAATATCTAGTATGAAGTGGAATGTAAGCTAAAGGTTCTGAGGAAAACTCCCTGTTTTTATTATGAAAGGAATACTTATTGGACTCCTGTTAAGCCCCACATCACATCCTCTTGACTCACCTCTTACTTTGTCATTGCTGTGGTAATTGGCTTTGTGCATGGGCAATCAGACAGTCCCTCCTGTTAGCTGCATAGAGTAGTTCTTGCTTTTTGCCTCAGGGCACCTCTGCTTCCCTGGTGTGGGACATAAGTAACAACTCAGTTAAACTCAGTTTGGAAGTAGGAGATTATGAAAAACTTTTAAGCTTTCTCTAATGGAGGATGGGTAAGTGAATAAAGTCTGTCTTTCATTTCTGATCCCTTGGGAGGACAATCTGGTGGTGACTTCAAGGCTGCCTGAAAGGTCTCCGTTGGATGGAGTGTAACTTGCTCACAGCAGGACCAACTCAAGATGGTCTTTGGATTAGCTGTCCCTCCTACCCGTTTGCTCTTCTCTTGGCACCCCACTTCTATTCTCCAAAAAAACGAGTACAAATAACTAGCTACCTGCCAGCCCAGGTCTCAGTCTCTGCTTTCTGGAGGAACCTGGGCTAGGTTAACATTCACTGTAGAAAATCAGTAGTCTTTTTGTTTTATATCTGTATATTCTAACCCATAATCTGGCCCCCTCTAGAGAGCTTTTCTGCATATGCACTTTAAAAAAAAATTACTGACCTCATACCGTACATTGATGTATATCCTGGCTTTCTCTCGCTAAGTCATGTGATGATGTGATTAAATTTTTCCATGTAATATTTAATAGCTACACAATATTTCACGGATTGTCTTTAAAAAATTATTACAGAGCAGTTACTATGTCCCAGGCACTGTCTTGAGCACTAAAGACCTAGCAAATGGACAAACAGATCGGGTCTCAGCTCTCCTGGAGCTGATGTTCTAGTTAGGATCTTTCTTATATTCTAACGGGGCAAACTTTTTTTTTTTTTTTTAAACCACTGGCCTGCTGTCAGTTATTTAGATTGCTTCTGATGTTCAGTATTATAAAACAAAATTTTGGTGGTATTCCTTGAATTCATCCTCTCGTTTCTTCTCTTAGGGTAACTTCCTAGAGCTGGAATTGCTGGAAGAAAAGAGGAGGGTAAATGAGGGTGTTGCTGGGATCCCCAACGAGATTTGTCTGTCTGATTCTGGGGCCCAGGCTGTTGATAACCATGCTGTTAATGTCCCCGTGCTGAAAAATCATGGTAACTGAGGTAACCAAGTGGTTCCTAGCTGGCTTAGGCATATAGGCTGTATGATTATATAAGATCAGGCCTGGAGTGGGGAAAAAAGAAAATCCTGGGTCTGCACATTACCAGCTGTGTGCTTTTTTTTGGGGGGGGGGAAAGCTCAGTTTCTTTATCTGTAAAGTGGGGACAAAACTTATGATCTGAAGGGGTTGTTAGTAAATACTTACTGAAGGCCTACTAATCTCCAGACTCCAAGTTAAGAATGGATAATCCAGTAGGAAAGGGGAGAGATTAACAAGCAATTACATGAATCTAAATCTACAAACTGCGTTCTGTGCAAGAGAAGTATGGGCTGCTACAGGGATAAACAACCAGGTGACCTCACTTGAGGGAGATGAATCGAGGTATGAGCTGAGCCAGGAAAGAAGTGGAGTTCACGAGGTCAAGGGAGGGGGGCGGGGATTCCCAGAGGAGGGAATGGCAGGTGCAAAGCATCTGGAAGATGGAATACGACTGCGTGCCACTTTTCCCATCTCCCTTGTGGCTCCTTCTGGAAAGGTCTTCTCAGATCTTCCCACGGTTGGTTTTTCTCCTCGTTTAGCTCACAGGCCATCTCGGGAGTTCCCGGACCCCCCGCCCCCCAAAGCGAAGCCCTCATCCCCACCGCTTCTGCCCTTACCAACAGCTGCCAATGGTTCGAGCCTTCGGGTTCATTCCGTGGAACGTCTCCCCCCCCCCCCCGCCCCGCGTGAATGGAAACCCCAAGAAGGGAGGGCTAAGCCCCCAGCGCCCAGCATCTAGCAGGTGCTCGACGCGTCGACCAGAAACGGGCTCGGGCAGGGCGTGCACGACGAGGGCGGGCGGCGGGAAAGCGGAGGGGGGTGGGGGGGTGGGGGGGGTCGGGGTCCCGGCGCGCGGTCAGGCGGAGGACGCGGCCCCGGGCGCCCCGAGCCACCTGCGCCGGGGGGACGGCCCGAGGGGCGCGCCGGGGGCGGGGCCGCCCACCCGGAACCCGAGTGCGGCGGCGCCGCGCGTTTCCGGCCGCGGCGGACACTTCCCGCGGAGGGACTGTCCCGTGGCAGCCGGGCCCGGAGCGGCGGCGATGGACGACCACAGCCTGGACGAGTTCCGCCGGCGCTGGCAGGAGGAGCTGGCGCAGGCCCAGGCGCTCCGGAAGCGGCGGCGGCCGCGGCGGCCCGAGGTGGCCGCGGGGCGTGGCGAGCAGCCGTCGGGGTACCTGGCGCTGGCCCAGGGCCTCCTGGAGGGGGCGGGGCGGCCCCCCGCGCCGCGGGCGACCCGGGCCGAGAGGCAGGACGCGGCGAGCCGCTCCCGCTCCCCGCCGGCCCGCGAGGAGCAACTGGTGGACCAGCTCATCCGCGACCTGGTGAGTGAGTGGCTGCCGCCCCCGCCCCCGCCCCCGCCCGGCTCGGATCCCTGCCCCGCGAGTCGGAAAGTAACCGTGTGCCGCCCTGTGTCTCCGGCCAGGCACGGAGCATCCCTGCAAGTGGCGGGCCCCAGCCCGGGGTGACCTTGTTCCCGCGTCCTGGGCAGCGTCCGTAGACGTTCTTAGGATGCCACAGCTGGGTTCGGGGAGCTGCTGCTGGAGCCTGGCGGGCACAAGTTGAGGATGCTCCCGAACGTCCGACAGCGCGGGGACAGCGCTCAGAAACCGTTATCCAACCCCACGTGCCCGTATCCGTTTGAGAAATCCCGCTCTTGGGCTCTTTTAACAAGGGTTGCCTTTAGGGAGGAGGCCTCCGGACCAGGATAGAAAGCGATTTTTTTTGAAATTTTTTATTTATTTATGATAGTCACAGAGAGAGAGAGAGAGGCAGAGACACAGGCGGAGGGAGAAGCAGGCTCCATGCACCGGGAGCCCGACGTGGGACTCGATCCCGGGTCTCCAGGATCGCGCCCTGGGCCAAAGGCAGGCGCCAAACCGCTGCGCCACCCAGGGATCCCCCTAGAAAGCGATTTTAACTTCATTTGCATAAAGTTTGTACCACTCAGTCCCCCCCCCCCCCCGCAACTGCACATGCATTCAGAAACAAAGCAGGGAAGGCGAAGTTCTTTGGGCACTATCCTTAGCATGGAGGTTCTTGAGAATTTGGAGGCGCACCCTCCCCCCAAAACCCGCCCCCTTAGCAAAGTTGGCACAGTCAGGATCATCAAAACACGTCCATGGTTAAGGGTTCAGACGATACAGCAGGTTTGGTTTTGTTTTTTAAAGACTAGTCATTCATGAAACACAGGCAGAGACACAGGCGGAGGGAGAAGCAGGCTCCTTGTGGGAAGCCCGATGCAGGACTCGATCCCAGGACCCCGGGACCACGACCTGAGCCAAAGGCAGATGCTCAACCACTGAGCCACCCAGGCTTCCCAGTACAGCAGGTTTTAATGGTTCAATGTATTTTAGAGATGGAGGGAGCAGAGGGAGAGTGCATCTTTAAGGACACTCCCTGCTAAGCTTGGATGCAGGTGCTGAGCTAGAGCTCATGACCCTGAGATCATGATCTGAGCCAAAGTCAGAAGTCCAGAGTCAGCTGCCTTAATGGCTGAGCCACCGAGGAGCCCCTGGGTCAATTTAAATTAGGCTTATAGAAAAGGCTTCTACGGCTTCCCAGTTCAGAGTAATTCTGTAATTGGCAAGTTGTTTCTAGAAGTAATGACTTACTTAACGTGTAGTTTTCCTCGAGTGATATTAACAGTGATAGGAGTTTCCACCAAGTTCTGGTCCTGTGCTCCCCTATCTCTCTAGGGCTAGAACCTTTTTGTGTTGTGTGTATTATAAACTCATTTAATGTGATAATTTTTATATGTATGAAAATTCATGGTGGCTTCTTGTCTGCTTCTGTAAAACGTGGGTCATCGCTGAGGCAGTTTGGTTTTGTTTTTTTAAAGACTTTATTTACATCTGGCAGATGTAAAAAATCTTTCATTGCCTTGGGAAGATGGTTTAGCACGGATAAGTTGGTCAGGCCAGTCCAGATCTATGCAGAAATTACTCCCATGGAAGCAGATTTGTAGGCTAAGGCAAGAGCAGCTCATGGCAGTAGAGAGAAACAAGAAAGTGGATTGTTAGGACAAAGGCACACTTGGGGCCTCACAGCTAAAATCCAACCTGCTGAATGTGGCAGTGTCTTCAGGCTTCACAGCAATCCTGGGGAATCCATATTGTAAATCCCCTTTTATGAATAAGGATATTCAGAAAGGTTTTCTGTAACCATCCCAGGGATGCCTAGCTGAAAAGTTCCGGGGGGGGGGGAGGGGTTGAATTTGGATCCAGGTCTGCTAGACTGTAAATTTCACCAGGTAGTAATTTGACAAACTTGACTTGGTGTAAAAATCCCCTTAGGCCTTAATAAAAGGTTCTGGTGTGTCTCTGGATCTGCTTAATCAAAATCTCGAGGAAGCTCCTAGAAATGTGCTGGTTGGGATGTCCAGCAAATTTGAGACCTTGTTCTTTGCTGTACAGCTTCCTTTGGATTACTGCCTTGATTCTTCGAGGCTTTCTGGCCCTAATACTCCTGAGGGATAGGCATTGAGACTAAAAGTAGCAGAGCCCTAAATGAAGTATTCTAGAAAAGGAAAGGACCTGCCTACTGTAGGATCCAAGGGGCACATTGGAATTAGAGAAAACCTCCCCTGCATGCCCATGCCTACCACAGTAGGTACTGCTGGGCTCTGCATCCTAACAGCATCAACCTTAAGGACACTTTTTTTTTTTTTAAGTACTTCACCATCATCAACATGGCTATAAATAAAATTTCTCTCCATCTCCTTGGTGTACCGCCTTAAGGGTTTAAAGACCTTATCTTCTTCTTTTCTCCCAACAACTCTCTCCAGTGGCTATTAGGCCCATTTGACAGATGAGCAGTAAGAAAAGTAATTGATTTTTAGGGGCAGTCAACCAACCTAGTATCCTAAATGTGAGAAAAGATGGTAACCTTTAGAGAAAAGACTTGGATCCCCATGTCCCAGATTGTAAGCCCCAGAGCCCGGAGGTCAGGCAGATCCTGCAAATGAGTGAGGTAGCCCAGGAGTGGCTCATTCTGTCCTTTTTCCCAGTTCATCACATGTTTTGTTGTATATCTTTCCAGATTCCAGCCATACATCTGTAATGCTTCAACTCATGTTTATCCTTTATTTTATTTTTTATTTTTTTTTAAGATTTTATTTATTTATGAGAGACACAGAGGAGAGAGAGAGAGGCAGAGACACAGGCAGAGGGAGAAGCAGGCTCCACGCCGGGAGCCCAACGTGGGACTCGATCCCAGGACTCCAGGATCACACCCTGGGCCAAAGGCAGGCGCTAAACCACTGAGCCACCCAAGGATCCCCTCATGGTTATCCTTTAAAAAATTTTTTTTAAAGTACTCTTCACCCAATTTGGGGCTTGAACTCACAACCCGGAGATTGAGTTGCGTGCTCTACTGACTGAGCCAACTGGGCTCCCCATGATACCTGCTATTCTTTTTTATCATGTTAAATATTAAATATGACAGAGAGTGTAGACATTGCCTTCATGATATCCTTAAAAAAATACTTAACCTTTCTTTTTTTTTGAAAACTAGCCCTCTTTGTCTTGTTTTTATACTTCTAAAAGTTTCTTTAAATCAAGCCCTGTTAATATGAATAATAGGGAAAGGGAATATAAGGGAAGGGAGAAGAAATGTGTGGGAAATATCAGAAAGGGAGACAGAACATAAAGACTTCTAACTCTGGGAAATGAACTAGGGGTGGTGGAGGGGGAGGAGGGCGGGGGGTGGGGGTGAATGGGTGACGGGCACTGAGGGGGACACTTGACGGGATGAGCACTGGGTGTTATTCTGTATGTTGGTAAATTGAACACCAATAAAAATTAATTTATTAAAAAAATAAATCAAGCCCTGTTTGATCATAAATGTCCAAATGTGGTGAATTTTCACAAGTGTACAAATCCATGTAAATAGCATCCAGTTTTCAGAACAGCATTATTAGCTTGTCAGAACCCCCATGTGTTCTCACCTGACTTCTAACACCTTATTTTCATTTTCTGTTTTTGAACTATAAGTAGAATCATTCAGCATGTGCTTGCTGTGTCTGGGTTCTAGCACATAGCATTATGTGTGAAATTCATCCTTATGAATATGTCACGTTTTATTCTGTTGATGGACATTCTTGATAACTAGTTTAACAGCTGATTTGAGACCATTGGGAGTAGTGCAGTGAATGCTTTTTATGTCTTTTGGAACCTGTGTACTCATTTTTCTTGGGTATATAGCTAATTGTGAAATTGCTGGGTCATATAGGTCTGCAGATGTTCAGCTTTAGTAAATACCAACAAACAATTCTCCAAGGTGGTTATAATGGCTTTCCTACATGATACAGTATTTCACTTTCTTCTTGCCATAAATATAACAACATCTAACTGAGATGACATATGGGAACTGAATTCCACCTCAGCATGGGCAAGATGAGAAGGTGATAAATTGGGGGAATCCAAGCTGTAGCTGGGCTAAAGGTGGGAGCCACTGCCCATGTCAGCTAGTTGTTGCCTTGCAGGAATGTGGACCCAGTCTGGCAGAGTCTTCAGATTTTTGTTTTGTAATCAGGAATGTTTATTTATTTTTTTTTAAAGATTTTATTTATTTATTCATAGAGACAGAGAGAGGCAGAGACACAGGCAGAGGGAGAAGCAGGCATCATACAGAGAGCCTGATGTGGGACTCGATCCAGGGTCCCCAGG